ACGCGCACATAGGCCCGCGGTCACTACCTTTGAGGTTGGTCGGATTTCGAGGCCGATTTTTGGCTGTTTTACTCTATGAAATTGCCTTTTCCCGGGCTGTTTTACTCTATATCCGACCAACCTTTGGGGGGGTAAAATGCCAATTTTTTGTCCTCGAATGCCAATTTTCGCTCTCACGCCGCATTTTTGAAGCTCCTCGCACGTTCACAACCCCGACAGCGGCTGGACTGTTTACCTCAAGCTGAGGTGGACAAAAATCACTCTCCTGGCCCTCTAGGCTATAGACTGTTTCAAAAAGAATTCTCGCGCGGGACGAGATTTTACTCTATTTTCGACCGACCCCCGCCATTTTCAGCCTCTTTTACTCTATAAATGGCCGGAGGTAGTATCTCGGATTAATTCATCCAATATTTAATCCAGGATTACTGTTTCAACGCCAAATGATTAAACCATACTCCTAGGGCTTCTTAACCGAGCAACAGCTTTCCAGACTTTGTACATTCTAAGTGAATTTTGAGGCAACAGATTTTCGGTCATGTCAACCAGCTCTCACTGCGCCACATTGCAGGGGAAGTCCGGAGTAAAACAGTGGCCGCTGGTGGCCATTGACTGATGATAATGGTACTTTTTTTGAATTGATGCACCAATTGCCAGAGGTGTTCACTGGTCCAGCCACCGCCGAACTCCAGTGGAATTCAGTGGAATTCATCGATGAAGGTTGTCTTTCCTCTAAAAATAATCAACAAAGACTATCCATTTTGACTTTCTTTCAGTGTAGGGCAAATATAAACGAGCAATGAGTCTCGTTTAGATTAGGCTCAGTTTGTTGACGGCTTCTGTGTTGTTGAAGCCAACCAGCAAGATATGGATGAGTATCAAAAGTCTTGAATCAAAATCAAAGATGTTGGCGTATTCGAGCTTCTTTCAACTGTGAAAATCAGAGTCTAGGCACATCCTTAGTGTACCTACCAAGTATCAATTTCCTTGAAATGAGACTGGGAGAATCGAAAGCAGCAACCTCAAGGAGTTGGGAAAGACCCACAGATCATACTCGTTTTGGCGGAAACCGGAAAAAACACTGTAATACAGCGTGAAAGAATCCGGTGAGCTCAACTGAAATGCGGTGGCCATCACTGAGTGTTTGCGGCACAAAATGAGCCATTGATTTCGGGTAGAAACTGTTGAACTGACGGTGCCGGCCAAAATCAAGCATTGCCGAATGGTGCCGATCAGCCATTTCCCAGATCTGTGTGTATTACTGGAAGTCCGACTGGAGTATTGTTGTCATCAGTTTCACAGACTGGAGCCGGATGTTCAAACTCAGCTCACATTTTTACTCCTCTGGAAAACAAACCTCTGGCATTCGGTAAATTGGTGGAATGAGTACCACCAAGTGAGAGAGAGATGCGAACAGCTAGCTCCCATACTTAACGCTATGAAACTCTGCACGATAAACTCCGTGCTGATCTTGCAGCAAGGAGACGGCAGTCCAATGGAAATGAAGTGATCTCGGCAATTGATACGCTGCTTGAACACTAAACAAAAGTGACACATCAACTGAGCAAGATTTTGAGAGATAACAAATTGTACGCCACATCAAAAAAATCTAGGAAAATGAGAGGGAGGGGGATCAGAAGGGCTTTTATCACTTGGACTCAAGAAATCCCCTTGGTACTTCTCTGCTGCTCTGATTTTCAATGATGACCAATTTTAGATGACAATTCTCTTTGTTTGTACTTGTAGCAAAAGTGGCCGAAATCCAAGTTCTCCAGGGTAGCTAAACCTCCGGTTCAGCCAGCCATATTAAGTAGACAAAATTTAGGCTCTTTTCAGCCTCTATGGTATAGCCTTTGTGAACATCGGAAGACAGTTATTCAGATCACGTATACTATAAACGAAAATTTTTGACTTGTTGCTGGATTCGTGGGAGTCAATGCGTTGTCCTTGGGCCGCGGCACGCGATAATACGACGGTGCTACAAGTTCAGGGGCCAGACGGAAATTCGAACGCTGCACCGCATGCGAGAGCGCTAGTCTTATTCATCTTCTCCCGGGAGCTCAAATTTGGACCTGCATTCCTTTCCCATTGGGGCTCCCTTCTCTTGTCCCCCAATTAATATTCTTCACCGCAGAACAAACTTCAATCAGACAAAACAATTGTCTCTACAACTTCATCACAATTATCCACTATCCTGACCCAGCTGTTGTTTCATTCCGAACTACTTTCGTTTCCTCGTTGAATTCTTCACCACAAAAAGCCGATATCAGCAACCACATTCAAACACAATCGTTCGCTCGGCTGTAAGAATTGATCAGCAAAGTATTTATCGCAGTGGCTAGAAGACGAACATCGAAGTTGGCCGCTTTTCAAGCACCAACGGGATCCACGCAGAGAATACCCTGCTCAGCGGCTGGAACGGAACAGCACTGAGCTTTTCCGTCCGAGCAACTCGCTTTGAAGTCGAAGACGGAGTCGGCTGAGGATGGTGTTTTGCAATCGAGGCTCGCAACGTCAAGGACATTAGCGGCGCAGCATTGGGGAACACTATAAAGAAAATCGAGGCAGGGACTGCCTCTCCTCTCTATGTTCCTCATCTTGCCACCAGTCGCTCCCCCGTGCGGATCCGGAGTGAGGGGAGAGGCTCCAATGCGCTGCGGGATGACAGTGAGAGCAAAGATAACAGCGGCGAGGGCGAAAGACTTCATTTTAATTTTCTCGGCTGCCTTCACAAGGGCTTTTAAAGCAACGGGACTCAGGAGTAGCCCCATTTCTGGACGTTCGGTCCCATTCAAAACATCCCTCGAGGTTCAGAACCGACACCGAACCCGAACCCGAACCCGAACCCAAACCCGAACCCGAAGCAATTCGGATCGGGATCCCGTCCGAATCTCCCTTCATGGCCGAATTGAATGTACTGCGCACAAATCGCGATCGAAGTCCAAGTGCGCTAAGCCTGAGCATTGGAGTTGTCAGCGTTTTTTCTGGGCGGGGAAAATGCGATGAGTCAGATCGGCACAACAGCGTGCCATTCCTTCAACGTTCGCATTGATTCCAGTCTAGCTCCATGTTGCCGCATCGCAAGACCCACCTGCAGGGACCGGCAACCACCTGAAAGGCACCGCCCTCGCTCGCCCCATCTCTCAACCTCTGCCAGACCTCTATCCTTCGAAAGCTCAACTCGGTAAGCGCGCGCCGCAAAACCGCACATGCTACATGTCGAATTTAAATCGAGAATCAAATGACGATCATAGTGTCTAATTAGTATATCTCCTCTCTGGGCTTGACTTGTGTCCTCCCGGGCTAAAAAATGGGTGCAGGGTTTTTTTCTCCAAGCTTGCGCGTTTACTGCGCCGACGCGACGCGTTAGGAGCACGTGCTGAGAAACCTGCCCGATGAGGATTCTTCCACTTCCTAGGTCATTCTGTGTTCCAAAATACCATTCGATATCCCCATGCGCTACGAGCATAAAAGGCGTATATGGATATTTGGAGGTATCCCTAGGTCGATTCGATACTCCTCCCTTCAATTTTCAGCCCGCCAACCTTATTTTATTCCAAACCCTCGCCGAACTTTATAGCGTAGAAAATGGCAAATTAATTCACGCTACGACCCAGACACAACCAAGACCTCCCCTCGTAGCGGCGCCTAAACGACCCTTTCCCCGTCGATTTCGTGTCTGGATGAAACCTAGGTCGATTCTCCGCATTAAAATACCCCTCCTCGCAAATTTCTATGTCAAGCACCACATTATTGGGTCCCCCGCAATTTATTCTCTGCCCGCGTGGTAGAAATGTGCTTGCATGCCTTCCGTCACTTCCCACCATCGAACGGGGGGGCTGCGAGTCCTATACTACATTCATCATATATTTCTCCCACTATTTTCGTGCATTTTAGGCCCCCACACATAATTTTAATCGCTGTGCTCCGTGAGATGTTGACATAAATGTCTGCAACTTCCCTGGAACAGCGCCCCCACGTGACCGACTTAGAGCGTTAGCGCTCCGTCGACGCGTCGTTATTATAACCCATTCTTAATTTGATCTCCGCTATCTAAAACCCAATATTATCTCCTTGGTGGCCCATCTCAACAGAAAGGAGAAGATTTCGGCGGCAGATGAAGCTTGGTTAGATAACGACGACAATCACGTCGAAGAAGACGCGATGGTCAGCAGGCTCGAGACTGCATCAGAATACGAGCGTGAGTTCGCGCATCTGGACACTACTGAAATGGGACTGGTTGAGAAATTGAAGAAGTTTGCTGGGGAAGTAAAGGTCTCTGCCGACATGTTGCTGCAACACTTTGGAGGTACCTCGAGGACGAAGAAGGGCTGTTTGCGCGTAAACTAGAGGGTGGTCTCACAGCTTTTGGATGGGAAACACACTTGGAATGCGCAAAAAATCTTGTTTCAACTTCAATTACTGATTACTTCACATCTAGTTGAGTAGATAATAACCCATACTTTCTAGGTCCACCGAGGGTCATGGGTTATAACAGAGTTGACTGTAGTTCAGACACAATATTAATTCAACCACGGGCCCTCAGACTGGAGCCCTGGGCCGGGGTCTTAGCCTGCTTGGGCAGCTTGGCTGGAGCCATGCTATGGATTCAGACGCAAACCATTGTTTAAAAAACTGAGAAGAGGTGTAGAAAAAAATGAATCTGAAGACTCGGCGTTCAATCATATTGAGCGCAGAAGAACAAATGTTGTACAGTAGAGGAAAAAGCATGCGCCCTGGGAGAGTTGAACCATATAGCTAGACACAATCTGAGCAGTGCATCACAAGAACAGACCATTAAACCAAGGACACAACATCAACCTCCGAACTGGTGAAGCCTCTCGAATGAGATCTTGTACTTCCGAAGTTTGAACAATACCTTTATATATTGATTTGTTGGTGAAAATTTAAAATATTCCTCCATTCAAGCAGGAAGTTAGAAGGTCAGAACGAGCTCTAATCTGGGAGAAAGAAAAATAAAATAAAAACCTATAAAGATACCAGGCGTCCTCGGGGAGTCGAACCCCGGACCAATCCAAAAACTTCATAGATTGCGTGTTACCGTTACACCAAGGACACGACATCAGCAGATCGGAATGATGGAAGGAGATGTCTGTTCAATTTGTATATCATTGTGCCGACATTTTAGTGCTGTTCCTTTATTTACGGTGGGCAGATGTATTTACTTCATTGGCGGGAAACGAGCCTGGCAAAAGGGAGTTTGATCTAGGCCAAGGGAAAGAAATATTTTTCAACACAAAAACAAATTTTCAGAATTATCATGCGCCCTCGACTCGAACCCCGGACCCAATCCGAACGATATTCCAACGTTATTAGAAGTAGATCGTGTGTTACCGCTAGACCAAAGACGCCAGATCAGCATCCAAAATGATAGACACCCAGTGCTTTTGAACAATGATGAAGATCAGATTAACTGTTTGATTCAGACGGGGAGTTAGAGAAGGTCAGAACAGGGACGCGCTCTAATCTAATCTAAGACAGAAATAGATAAAAAATTGACCTTGTATGAATTAAAATATTCGACTCAGGCCGGGAGTTAGAAAAGAGCAACAGAGACGAGCTCTGATCTGAGTCTAAGACATAAAGAAAAATATAAATAACCATTCACCGATACCAGGCGTCCTCGGGGAGTCGAACCCCCGACCAATCCAACAATAGATCGTGTGTTACCGTTACACCAAGGACGCGACATCAAAATCTGAAATGATGGGAAGGATGTATTTGGACACAGGTGCCTTCATCATTTTGTTTGCTGATTTATCCTGGCACGTAAGAAACTGGGAACCGGCTGGCGAGAAAGAAAGTAAAAAAATGCATCCACAGCCAAATGCGTCCTCGGGGACTCGAACCCCGGATCCAATCTAACTTCATATGGATATGTGCGAAAAGCAGATTGTGTGTCACCGTTACAATGATGCTACATCCTTCATCCAATGGATGCAGACCATGTCAATGCAGTGAATAATCAATCAGCATCAATCAAGATTTAGTGCAGATGAAAAACAAAGCTTGACTGGAGAGAAACAAGAGGAGGTCAGAACAAAAACTCGTCGACGAGAGCCGGGCCAGAAGTAATAATTAAAAGCCGATGGAAAGAAGGGACAAAGAAAAAGAAGGAGTAGAACAGGCAGGCGTCCCCGGGGAGTCGAACCCCGGACCATTCGATATGGTTAAAACCAAGTAGTGAATGTGTGTTACCGTTACACCAAGGACACGACATCATCGGTTAGGAATGATGGAGGGAGATCTCATGTGCACATGTGTCTCTTCTCTAATTCCGCATCTTGCGATGTTAGTGTTGGTCTGGCAAGCAAGAGCAGAAGAAGGCTGAGTGAGCCTGAAGGGAGAACTAACACTGGTGGGTGAAAAGTTGAAGGCAAAAAATGAAGGACCGAGGTAAGAAAAAGCAGCTTACTTCCGACAGTGCGCCTTCGGGGAGTCGAACCCCGGACCCAATCCAAATACTTTGATAGAATCACGCAGCATTAATAGATTGTGTGTTACTGTTACACCAAGGGCGCCATATCAGCGTCCCATAATAGATCTTGCCCTCCTACTGTAGATTCCATATTCATATTGTCCGTCTTCCTCTGAATTGAATTGTGCTGGCAATATATTCATTGAGACTGTGTCATCTTGCGGGGGAAGGCGGGTCAAAACTTGAAGGAAACTAATGGCCCGAAAAAATAAACAACGATCGCGCGCGAGGAAGAAAAAAAAAGCCCAAAAATATGATTCTAGCAACATGCGCCCTCGGGGAGTCGAAGCCCGGACCCAATCCAAATTCAGTAAGGACATAGTGAATAAGATATTGTATGTTACCGCTACACCAAGGTCGCTACATAAGCCTTCCACAATGATGGCTATTCGGGACTGTTGAGTCTGCTCCAATATCCATAGTTTGTATTCCGGAATTGAAATGAATTGGCTGGAATTTATCAAATACCAATGCAGTGAGGTCCAGAAAAATGTCGATGTTTGCAGTCTGAGTCTAACTCAAGTTGAAGATGGCATGCGGGCAGGGAACAAAAATGGGAGGAGGAGCTTGCATTGAAAAAAAAACCATGGATATTGTACAGAATGCACCCGGACTCGAACCCCGGACCCAATCTAAGCAAAACCTTCTTTTGTATAAGTAGATTGTGTGTTCGTAATGCCAACGCTCATGTAGAGGAAGCCTCGGGTCACAGCTTGAAGGAAACGAAAGGAGAGCAAAAAAGGTAGTTCGAAATTTAGGATGCGCGCTCGGGGAGTCGAACCCCGGACCCAATCTAAGGGAACACATACTGTGATAGAAGTAGATTGTGTGTTACCGCTACACCAAGGGCGCAATATCAGCCTCTCAAATGATAGACACCTTGTGCTTCTGACCATCAAGATCAGTATCAATCAAGATTTATTAGTGCAGATAAAAAAAAAGCTTGACTGGGAGGAATAAGAGGAGGTCAAAACAAAAACTCGCCATCGGAATTGGTCAGATTAATAAAAACCTACATACCAAGTGTGCTCGAAAGAAAGAAAGAAAGAAGGAACGAAGAAAACCTGCGACGATATCAATAGACGTCCTCGGGGAGTCAAACCCCGGGCCATTCGGTTTGGCTAAAAGCCGGAAAGGGAATGTATGTTACCGTTACACCACGCGATATCATCATCCTGAAATGATGGATGGAGATCTCATGCTGTCTTAGGCTCTCTTACTCATTCCGCATCTTGCCATGTTGGTCTGGCAAGCAAGGACTGGTGGGTGAAAAGTTTACGGGAACCGAAGGAAACGACAGCTCCAAAGACACCAAAGAAACAGCAAGAAAATAAAGGATTATGAAAATGAGAAATGCAACCTTGGGGAGTCGAACCCCAGACCCAATCTAAACTATGAGACCCAAATTATTGATAGATTGTGTGTTACCGCTGCAACAAGGGCGCTATGTCGGTCTTCCCATGATAGATCTTGCCCTCTTACTGTAGATTCCATATTGTCCCTTTTCCTCCGAGTCTGAAAAGTGGAATTTCAAATATATTCATTGAGACTGCGTCACGGTTTGTGCCATCTTGCAGGGGGAATGCGGGCCAAAACTTGAAGGAAAACCAAGCTCCGAGAAAAATAAACAACGATCGCGAGGAAGAAAAACAAACGGGGGAAAAAAGCCTGTGACCAGTGCAATGCGCCCTCGTGGAGTCAAACCCCGGACCCAATCTTAAATGTGCATGCTTTCAATCATGAACAGATTGTATGTTACCGCTACACCAAGGGCGCGACGCTATTCTGGCATCCTGTCTCCTTGTCTCTTTGTCTTTGGTGATCTATGTACGCACTTGTTTCTGAGAATGAGCAGCTTCCTAATATTAATTGGAGTCGTATAGTACCTCGTCACTTCGTCGGATGAGGATCTTCGTCGCTTGATGGAGGATCTTCGTCAGTTGATGGCGCAAGTTCGTGAGATCAGAATTAATCGAAGGCGAGTTCGTCAGAAACTGGCGCGAGTGTGAGAAACCATGTAAGTTCGTCAGGACAAAATGCAAGTTCGTCAGATGCCCGGATTCGGCCGGGATTCCACCATCGATCCTCGCCTGGGTGATGCGCCGGCTGCTTCTTGTTTCCTCCCACCACCATCTCGCCTCACCGCCCGCATTCCTGCGCCGTCCTCAATGTCTTCATTTGCCGACAACAGAAGCTCGGACGCAGCACGCGCAGTTGGGATGCAGCTGTGCACCGTGAGCATAGTCGAGGAGAAGGTACGTATTCCCCTTTGTGGTCATCTGTGTCCGAATGCTGACGATGGCGAAAGAACGTCCCCCTCAGCAATTTTCAGAACGCGCTGTTGCCGCGGATGTCCCACCGGGCTTCACACACAGACTCAATGCCTCCCCAACAAGCGCCCGATTCGCCGGAATCAACACAACCTGGGTTCAGACTACCTGAACAGCCAGGTGGGGGTAGACCCCCGTTCTTGTGCCGTGCGGGATGATGCTGATACAGATGGTCATCAGAATCTCCGCAGGACATCACGCGCGAGCCGGCGGCGACCGCGAACTTCAGCAAAATGTGCTTGATCCATTTCCAGAGGTATGCACTGTAGTGATTCATCTGAAGATTTTTGAGCGCATCTTCAATGCTTCAGATCCATCCACCGCTTCTGAGTCCACGAGTCGACGACCGACGCTTAAAGTCGGATACTAAAGCCTCTGCAGTGCACGAAAATCGTAGTTATCCTTATTGTACGTACTATGTACTTCTTCAATTCATTATACAGGCCATTGGTCATGATGCAGTGGATTTGCCACCCTCAGATGGTATTTGAAGGGTATTATACACCGTTAAAGCTCTTTCCGTGTGACCTGGGCTCATACTGTCGGGCTGAGGACGACCGCAATGACTTGGAAACTGGCGATCAATCGAACAGAGCATATGTCCACAGTTCGAAAGTCAGTTAATCGAACTCGTGAAGAATGTAAAAAGTCTGGACAAAGTGCCAATCTAAGATCGATTGAGCCCATAGTTCTCCCAGGCTAGGGGGAATTCTCTTCGACAGTATTATCGGGATACTTGGTGAGGAACATTCTATGTTGTGCAAGGTCGTGCGGGTCAACCCAAACGGTTGGACAATATGGAATTTCCCCTCTAAAGCAACTGGCAAGCCAGCAGAGAGGTCGTTAGGCAATATACTGAGGCAGATTCTCCCACTCCTAGGTTACATTAAATAAAAGGGCATGATAAATCTGTTTCGGTATGGGACTGGCTGGCTTAACAGATGTATTGGCATATAATCCGCATTCGTCACGGATGGAATAATGCGGTCTGAAAACTTTCTCCTCAAGTAGCGAAACTAACGAGTTATTATTTCCTTGGTCTGACGGGAAAAATTCAACCACCTGTGTGAACAGTAACGTTGACCCTGGACAGATTTTACAATATAATAGAGTCGGAACTCGGCTTTTCTTTACTCACCATGTTTGAAGGTACGATATGAGTCCGTATGAGACCCTAATTCTGTATTTTTGATGAGATTGCGGCGGTTGAACTGTTGTATTTACATACTATAAATGGCCTCGCCGCCTGTTTGGACCCAACATTCAACTGAGAACCTGGATGTTCAGCAGTCAGAGGACCGGATCTCGGAGTCATTTCCTCATCGCGAGACCCTTTTCGTTGATTGAAAAGTAGTTCAAAGCCCTCAACAGCAGGCATTGACCGAAATTATACCGTGGGTAGAAGCCGGTGGAGCTCCTAATGAACACGGAGCTACTTGAGTGCGAGTGCAAGAGCACGAAGAGGGCACAGACGATGGGGGGGAAGGTAAAGATGTTGATTAAAGGCATGCTAGACTACACTACCTCTGAGGTTCGATTGCAGCAGGGTTTGTGTTGCAACAGAAAGCATATAGCACGGCGAGTTGAACCGGTTCAGAGAAAACAAATATAATTGTCCTCGCCGCTTCTTTTGATCAAACATTCATATAGGTAAACTTATGTGTCCATTAGTCCGATGACAAAGCTTAGAGATCATTTAGCGCATCCCTGGGAGACTAGTTCAAGCTTTCAAATGGTTGTTGTATACGAAAAAGCATCTCAAAACCCGAATGTAACTGATTGATCTTAATGCTTGAACTTAGGAGCTCTGAGGAGTTTGCCCTTGCACGTCTTGGGAGATATCTCGGCCAATCCGTTTTTCGCCCTTTGGTACCGCTACCGGGCCACGATGAAATGTGAAAATCTGAACGAGTAGAGGGCTGCATCGAATACTGAAAGAATGCAAGAATTTTCCAGAATCTCCCTTGTTGCAGGCGTCCTGTGTCAAAAAGTTGAACTCACATGTGACTTCAAGTTCCAGCACACAAGGATAGCTAGGTTGCTCCATCCTACTCGGTATGGACATTGGAGGAGGGGAACACAGCCATCTGACTCACAAGCTTGAACCTTGAAAGGTGACGATCTGCCACAGCCGTAACACGGTCCTAGTAATCCAAGTGACACGTGATCTTGGCTGAATCGAACCCACCACCGCCGCAGTTGCGCCACCTACCCGACATCCGACGAACTTGCTCATTCACAAGGCTGGAATAGGCAAGCAACGAACTTGCATTGTAATCTGATGAACTTACACACCAGGTGACGAAGATCCTCATCTGACGAAGTGACGAAGTATGCGAGGGCTCTATTAATTAGCAATAGGATGTCTGCGATGAAGATACTTGCAGAGCAACGCAATTCCAGCGCTCATGCATGCAGAGGGAGGTTGAGTCTGAGCGGGGTCACAGCTTGAAGGAAAGAACGAGGAAGAGAACGAGGAAGAAAAACAAATCCTGATACTTATTTTGATATTTTGAATGCGCCCTCGGGGACTCGAACCCCGGACCCAATCTAAAATATTCTCCTTGCTTGGATTGCAGAATTAATAGATTGTGTGTTACCGTTACACCAAGGGCGCGATGCTAATCTGTTATCCTGGCATCCTGCTGATCTGTCGATCTACCCATTGTTTCTGAATTGCCTGCTACAGCACTTTAGGACGCCGGCGGCAACTTACAAAGACACAAAGGAACGTAACGCGCTCGCCGTCGCTCGACAAAATCTATTCGCACAGGACGCGAAGACGCCGATCAATGCGCCAATGTTTTACGAAAGGGTGCTCCGAGTCTCGGTTTGCTCTCGGTAACCATACTGCAATACTACGCCGATCTAAGTGGTACCCCACATCCCGCATCCCGCATCCCACGGAAATATATTCATTGAGACTGTTTGTGCCATCTTGCGGGGGAAGGCGGGTCAAAACTTGAAGGAAACTAATGGCCGAGAAAAATAAACAACGATCGCACGCGAGGAAGAAAAACAAACTGGAATAAAAAACAAATACTCCAATTTCGAATGCGCCCTCGGGAGCTCGAACCCCGGACCCAATCTAAACACTCATATGAGATAAATAATTAATAGATTGTGTGTTACCGTTACACTAAGGACGCGATATCAGCATCCACAGTGATGTGGTTGCTCATGAGGTTATTCGGGACCATCGATCTCGAAGATTCAGTGTGAAGATTCAAAAGGTTGGCTGGGGCTCATACACCAGATCGAGGATAGATATTAGGCAGCTTGAAGAAATAATAATTAAAAGTCCGAGGCACAACAGAACAAACGGTGTTCGAAAAAACGGGAAAACCAGAAGAAGAAAAAAAACCGGAAAAATAGGTATAGATTTTGGCGTCTATGCACCCTCGGGTAGTCGAACCCCGGACCCAATCTAAATACTCCTATACAGCCATCCAGAATTGATAGATTGTGTGTTACCGCTACACCAAGGACGCCACACCAGTCTCCCCATAATAGATCTTGTCCTCTGACTGTAGATTCCATATTCATATTGTCCGTTGATAAGCAGTGAATGAACACACCTATGAAAATGCTATATTTTTCGCTTTTCAAATGTGTAGTTCATTCCTATTGTATCATTTATTAGAGGCAGTACTAAGAACCCGAAGTAGCTGGCCTGTGGCCAGCATCACAAGAGCAACGGGACAACACCCTGGTGGAAGCCAGAGGTGTTTCTGACATGTTCTCGCTCTGAAACATGTAGGAGATTGTGTAGCCCAACTAAACCAGAGGGTATGTCGTTGGTACTGGTAGTTTCGGTAGTTTCGATACCGAAACATCCAGGACCAGAGCGACGAGCGACTATGTGGTTATCTATTTGGGAGTATCGACGCGTTCGCGTCGATCCAGGTGACGTGAAAGGCACCAGAGGCGGTGTTTCGGTTGTAGCCGAAGCGTCGGTTACTCGGCAACGGACATCATAGTGGGATAGTAAGCGAAGGGGACCCATGATCGTCGATCCCGGAGTTCCCAGGACTTCCCCTTTGGGTGATAGGAGCATTCTGGAGTATCCATCCTGAATCCACACTCGAAGTGGGGTATCATTCGAAGCCTACATGGCTGGAGACTCTAGTTTCCATGAAGACCTTCGAGGGATACTCTCAAAAAGCAAGTTGCATTGCAAAGGGATTACATGGTGGTTGATGCCTAAGCTGCCATCAATCCACCATGTGCAGAATCTTACCAAGGAGCGGTCGGAATATACCCGGAATGGCGTGCTCAGTGCCCCCGACCAATAGGACCCATTATATTTTAATTGCCAAGACGGATACACGGACTGCGAGGCGGATAAACGGACCTTTTACTTAATTCTTTCATTGTCATAGTCATATTCTGGATTGTATAAGTAGCTAGAGGTGTTTCTAGGGTCGAGGACGGAGTTTCCCCCAACTAGTGAGCCCAGCTTACGCCCAAGGGAAACTTTTAGTCGATCTTCGGACACCTACCAACGTCAGTTTGTAGGAGTTGGAATATCACCATTGTTGGATTGGATAAAACGTCTGAGCGTGGCTCTTGAATCATATTGAATCGCCGGCCTTGGGTCTTGAATCGTTGGAATCGTATTGAATCGCCAGCCTTGGGTCTTGAATCGTTGGAATCGTATTGAATTGCCGGCCTTGGGTCTTGAATCGTTGGAATCGTATTGAATTGCCGGCCTTGGGTCTTGAATCGTTGGAATCGTATTGAATCGCCAGCCTTGGGTCTTGAATCGTTGGAATCGTATTGAATCGCCGGCCTTGGGTCTTGAATCATATAGAATCACCGGTCTTGGACCTTGAATCGTTGGGAACTGGGTTGGGAACTGTTTGGAATCGTCTGTTTTGTTGTTTTGTTGTCTGGAACCACCACCATCTTTGTTAAACTTTGCGGGACTTTCAGTTTCGCTTTGGAATATTGGTGAACCTCACGGTTCCCTTCATTCCAATAAACTCTATCTGTGTTGTTTGCGTTGGAAACCTCAGAATCCTTTTGGATCCTCAGTTTCCATCGTCATAGTCGGTCATAACCGACTCAAGTCTTGGTGTCCGAAACAGATATCCTCTGGGATCTCTTAGTTTCGTACATAACAAACGCTTGCTACGTCTTACAACGACTTCTTGAATTAAACTTTCTCCCGATCAACCTTTACAAGGCTCTGAATCAGGACTGACACTCGTCTGGTACCTCTGGAACAAACGTTACACCGCACTTGCTGCACACTATTGGTTGTTTGGGATTAGATTCGTCTGTTCCATCCGATTCTTTGGTTGTAGTATTTTGTCTTGGCTGTTTCTGTTAGTTTCCATCCTAGGTTCGGAGCTCACTTATCACCGTCTTCCTGTGAATTAAATTGAATTATGCTGGAGTTTCAAATATATTCATTGAGACTGCGTCACGGTTTGTGCCATCTTGCGGACGAAGGTGGGTCAAAACTTGAAGGAAAACCAAGCTCCGAGAAAAATAAACAACGATCGCATGCGAGGAAGAAAAACAAACTGGAATAAAAAACCAATGCTCTAACTTTGCATGCGCCCTCGAGGAGTCGAACCCCGGACCCAATCCTAAACTTCCTCATTTATCATCAAGAAGTAGATTGTGTATTACCACTACACCAAGGGCGCGGTGCTATTGTGGCATCCTGTTGTCTTGTCGTCATGTCTCTTTGTCTTTGGTGATCCACGTACTTGTTTCTGAGAGGGAGCTGCTTCCCAATATTAATTATTAAATTAGCAATAGGATGTCTGCGATGAAGATACACTTGCAGAGCAACGCAATGCCAGCTCGTGCAAAGTCAGAGTAAAAGAGAAAGACAGAAAGGACGAGAGAACGAAAGAACGAAAGAACGAGAGCAACCAAAAATTCTCTCGACTTCACGAAAATGCGCCCTCGGGGAGTTGAACCCCGGACCCAATCTAAATCCTACTAGACTGCAATTAATAGATTGTGTGTGTTACCGTTACACCAAGGACGCGACATCAAAGTCTCAAAATGATAGGTCAAGCCGGGGTCTTAGATTCCATAATATTGCCTCGAAGATTCCATATTGTCCCGACACTCCTCTAGGCTCTGAATTGAGACTGCCGGCACAATTCAGAGTGCAGTCGCTATCATCCGTCGCTGTTCATTGATTTATTGAACAAAATGAAAGGTTGGCTGGGATTCGTGGAGGATATATACTAATAGATATATTACCCTCCTCGCTCTTCTTTCAAATATAGCTGGCAGCGCCAAAGCAAATAATAATATAATATAACAATGGTCAATGAAAGGCTGACGAGGCATAACAATTCGAAAAAACGGGAAAACGGGAAAACTAGAAAAAAACCGGAAAAACAGGCTTACGACAACGGAGTGCGCCCTCGGGGAGTCGAACCCCGGACCCAACCTCATTAAATCCGCTAAAGTATTACTAGTAGATTGTGTGTTACCGCTACACCAAGGGCGCTACACCCCTCCGCCAATTAATGGAGCTACTGGGTTACTGCTGAATCATCTCTTTCAGTATCAAGCCTCAGCCTCGGGATGAGCTCAGAAGAAAACAGGAAAAAGTCACAGTTGTATTTGACACTGCACATTTTCACTGGAACACGGTGGTGCAGGCAAAAAAACTCCCCAAAAAGAAAAAGAAAAGAAAAAAAAGATATTCGCTCCTCTTCCTGGGAATTGAATTGTGCTGGAGCTTCAAATATTCAAGGGTGCCTTTGTTGCATGTTGCAGATTTGTGTTTGATTGGTATACATTTTAACATGAAACAGAACAAGTACTGGCGAGTCAAAACTTGAAGGAAACGAAAGGTTCGATGAAAATAAACAACGAGGAAGAAAAAAATCCCGGAAAAAAAGGACATTGTCTTATTCTCATGCGCCCTCGGGGAGTCGAACCCCGGACCCAATCTTAGGCAGTCATCTCTTTGGTAGAAGTAGATTGTATGTTACTGCTACACCAAGAGTGCAATACCTCTCCTCGAATTGATTGAGCTCATATCAATGTTATCAGAAGTGAACCACTGATGAAGTGACGAATAAAGCTTAAAGTCTGTATTGTATTGCACACTTGCAACTATTGTGTATTGATTTGTTCTGTACAGTCTGATTGTAGATTGTGTGTTACCGCCACACCACTTAAGAGTAAATATCAGTCCTTCAATCAACGGAGATCATGCCATCACGGTGCTTCCGAACAATTGATATTCAGTACTGGTACCGATCATCAAAAGGATTGGTGCAGATTAAAGGTTCACTGAGGTTAGAACAAAAACTCGCCATTCGGAATAATCAAAACCTACATACCAAGTGTGCTCGAGAGAAAGAAGAGAGAGAAGAGAGATAAAAAAACCTGCGACGATATCAATAGGCGTCCTCGGGGAGTCGAACCCCGGACCAATCCGAGAGTAGATTGAGTGTTACCGTTACACCAAGGACACGACATCAGCAGGCCAGAATGATGGCAGGAGAGGAATGATGGAAAGAGATGTCTGTTCAATTTGTGTATCATTGTGCCGACATTCAGTGCTGTTCCTTTATTTACGATGGCCTTTAGCAGATATATTGATTACTTCATTGGCGGGAACGAACCTGGCAAAAGAGAGTTTGATTTGGGTCAAAGGGAAAGAAATATTTTTCAACACAAAAGCAATTGTCCGGGTATGGTATGCGCCCTTGGGGACTCGAACCCGGACTCAATCCAAATTCTTTCCAGTGTCTATATGAGAAGCACTACTAGTAGGTTTACCGCTACACCAAAGACATGATATCAGCATCCAAAATGATGGAGACCATATCAATGCAGTGAACAATCGATATCAGTATCAATTGATGTGAAGAGAAGGGACGGGATGATAGATACGGACAATAATGGAAAGGTTGAGAAAATAAGAAAGAGAAGGGGGAAAAAAATCAAGAAATTGTCAGGCATCCTCGAGGAGTCGAACCCTGGACCAATCAAGTGTTCATCGACTGTGTGTTACCGTTACACCAAGGACGCTACATCAGTGGTCCGAACTGATGGAAACAGATGTCTTCTGCTAAAATTCCGCATTCGAAGTGTGCCCGAAAGAAGGAAGAAAAACGATGACAGTATTATGCGCCCTCGGGAAGTCGAACCCGGGACCCAATTCAAAATATATTCAAACACCAAAAGGAGATTGTGTATTACCGCCACACCACTTTAAATATCAGTCTGATTCAATCGACGGAGATCATGCCATCACGGTGCTTCCGAACAATTGATATTCAGTACTGGTACCGATCATCAAAAGGATTGGTGCAGACAAAAAGGTTCACTGAGGTTAGAACAAAAACCCGCAAACGGGAGGCCGGCCAAAAAAATAAACCAAGTCTGCTCGAAAGAAAGAAGAGAGAAAGAAATAAAAACAAACCTGCGACATCAATAGGCGTCCTCGGGGAGTCGAACCCCGGACCATTCGAATTGGTGGAAACCGAGCTGTGAATGTGTGTTACCGTTACACCAAGGACGCGATATCAATGTGTAAATTGATGTTATAATCATCTTCTCAATTCCACATCTTGCATCTTGCACGGGTGTTCATTTGTGCTATGCTCTTCGCCGGCACTGGTATAAATGAAGTTGGGCATGGCAAGCCTGAGTCTCGTCACAGCTTGAAGGAAAAGAACGAGGAAGAAAAAAGATTCCGAAATCTGGGATGCACCCTCGGGGAGTCGAACCCCGGACCCAATCTAAATCCTACTAGACTGCAATTAATAGATTGTGTGTGTTACCGCTACACCAAGGACGCAACATCAAAGGCTCAGAATGATAGGTCAAGCCGGGGTCTTAGATTCCATAATATTGTCTCGAAGATTCCATACATGTTGTCCCGACACTCCTCTGAATTGAGACTGCCGGCACAATTCAGCGTGTAATATCCAAGACTGGTAAGGTGGGTCAAAACTTGGAGGAAACGAAAGAAAGAACGAAAGAACGAGAGCAATAAAAAAGACGTTTCTGGAACTTGATAATGCACCCTCGGGGAGTCGAACCCCGGACCCAATCTTCCTGATCACACTGCTCAATGGAGAGATGTAGATTGTGTGTTACCGCTACACCAAGGGCGCTATATCATACTCGCTCGCCTACCTGCCTGCCTGCCTGTAATCATACAGTACCTGTGATCGTCACTACCGCTTTTGAACAATCATCCGTCATTCGTCGCTGTTCATTGATTTATTGAACAAAATGAAAAGTTGGCTGGGATTCGTGGAGGATATATAGATATATTACCCTCCTCGCTCTTCTTTCAAATATAGCTGGCAGTGCAAAAGCACCAAATAATATAATAGTTGTCAATGAAAGGCTGACGAGGCACAACAATTCGAAAAAACTAGAAAACCAGAAAACCAGAAAAAAACCGAAAAAGGAGGCTTACGACAACGGAGTGTGCCCTCGGGGAGTCGAACCCCGGACCCAATCTTAAACCATTCCGGTTTCCGCAGAAGTAGATTGTGTGTTACCGTTACACCAAGGGCGCGATGCCATCTTGTCATCCTGTTCACTTGTCACTGTCAGGTCCCTTTCCTCATTGTCTCATTTGTGTGCCAGCGAATCGCCTAGGCCTGCGCACGATGTCTGAGATGAAGAAGATACTTGCAGATAAAGTTTAAAAGAGGCGGCTCGTGCAAAGAAGCCCGAGTCGGTCAGAGTAAAACTTGGAGAAAAGAAAGAACGAAAGCGGGAGCAAAAAGATTTAGTCGAAAACAGGATGCGCCATTGGGGAGTCGAACCCCGGACCCAATCTTACAGCTTTACCACCATCGGACCGTGAGATTGTGTGTTACCGCTACACCAAGCGCGCGATGCTGTTCTGGCATCCTGTTGTCTTGTCGTCTTGTCTCTTTGTCTCTTTGTCTATGGTGATCTACTCTTGTTTCTGAGCTGCTTGCAATTGCTCACGTTCCAACACTTGAGATGAAGATACACTTGAAGAAGTGAACGGAACAGTGCCGATGCTCATGGTGAAAGTAAGTTTGAGTCTGAGTGGGGTCATAGTTTGAAGGAAAGAAAGAACGAGGGACCAAAAAAGATCTCATACAGAAAATGCACCCTCGGGGAGTCGAACCCCGGACCCAATCCTAAACTTGAAACTGTTTTACCCAGAAGTAGATTGCGTGTTACCACTACACCAAGGGCGCGACATCAAAGACTCAAAATGATAGAGATCCTGGGTTGTTTCTGAATCAATATCAGTATCAAGCAAGAGTTGTTAGTGCAGATAAAACTATCCATTCAGAATGATCAAAACATACATACCAAGTCTGCTCGAAAAAAAGGAACAAAAAAGAAGAACAAAAAACCACCATACTTGGGGAGGCGTCCTCGGGGAGTCGAACCCCAGACCATTCGAATTGGTGGAAACCGAGCTGTGAATGTGTGTTACCGCTACACCAAGGACGCGACATCAGCCTTTAAATTCATGTTAATCTCGATGGGCCCATCAGTCTGGGACGAACTCGAATAAAGTGAGAGGCCAACGCAGCGAACTCAAGACCAGGAAAAAAAAAGAGTATTTCACTGGCGCCAGTTTAGTGTGGTGCTTCACGGAAACCAAAGCCCCAAGAGGAAAAAAACGAGCTGGCTATTCTGTAATGCGTCCTCGGGGAGTCGAACCCCGGACCATTCAATGTAGTTATAAAACCAAGAGGTGAATGTGTGTTACCGCTACACCAAGGACGCTACATCCTCATTCTGAAATGATAGGTCAAACTGATGTTAATGTCATTGGGGTTATTCGGGACCATCAACCGGGGAGGAACGGAGAACTCGAACTCGAATAAAGCAAGTTGAAGAGGCTAATGCAGCGACTCGGAGCTCAAGACCAGGGAAAAAGAAAAGGATTTCACTGTCAATGGTGATCATGACAGTTTAGCGTGGTGCTTCGGAAACCACAGCCCGAAAGAAGAAGCAAAAATTGTCAAGTATTCGGAAATGCGCCCTCGGGGAGTCGAACCCCGGACCCAATCTTAGATGTGCCACACAGCCGTAAGACTAGATTGTGTGTTACCATTACACCAAGGACGCGACATCAAAGTCTCAGAATGATAGGTCAAGGTGGGGTCTTAGATTCCATAATAGATTCCATACATATTGTCCCGACACTCCTCTGAATTGAGACTGCCGGCACAAGTGGAGCTTTAAATATCCAAGACTGGTAAGGCGGGAGGAAACGAAAGAGAGAACGAAAGAACGACAGAACGAGAGTAACAAAAAATTCTCTCGACTTCACGAAAATGCGCCCTCGGGGACTCGAACCCCGAACCCAATCTAGATGTATCAAAACCTTAGGGATTAATAGATTGTGTGTTACCGCTACACCAAGGACGCGATGCCACTTTGGTCACTTGGTCACTTGTCAAGTCAGTTGCTTGTTCACTATATTAAATAGGACGCCGACATCACATAACATAAAAACAGAGAGGGAACGTAATCCCACTGCGCTGCGCTTGCCGTCGCTCGACCAAATATATTCGCACAGGGCGCGAAGACGCCGATCAATGCGCCAGTGGTTTACGAAAGGGCGCTCCGGGTCTCGGTTTGCCGTTTGCTCTCGGTAACCATACTACAAGACATACATGTATCGATCTGAGCGTATAGATGTGGGGTACCCACATCCCACATCCCACATCCCGCATCCCGCATCCCACCGACATCGGACCCCGACAAACGCAGCCAGGCGGGCGCGTGGCGATAGAGTTTGCGCGCGAGGCGGGGACATTTGATGTATATCATATCATTGAATTAACGGTTGGCGCCGCACGCCGGGGGAGTTCGCCGTGCGTGCGCCGTTTGTACAGTGTATAACATATACGTAAACAGTGCCGACGAGACGCGTACGGCCTTTGTCGTAACTCGATCTCTGCGCATCGTATTACCGAACCGGGCCGGCGCGCAGGGTCAGTCAGCGCGCGGGGCGGGCTTGGATTGGCCAGCGCCTGAAACGTGGCACCAGCTTCAAGGGGCGAGGAAGCGTGGGGGCGTGGGCATGGGCACCGTGATTCGTGACGGAGGCGCAACGGCGAACATCAGCCGCGAAGGCGGGGCTGGATGGTGCATCACAAGTCGTTGTCGGAGGAAGACGGACGGACGCGATTGAATCAAATTGGGAATTGAAGGAGGGGAGGGACCCCGGGGAGCGCGGTGCTTCTGCGCCTGATGGCGATGGAACGTGTCAACGGTGCACCAATTTTGAATGACGCAGAAGGGAGAAGGGAGAGAGGGTAGGGAGGTAGGAGGTAGGCAACGGCAACGGTGCGGGCGCGGAATAAGAGCGATGCCCAACAAATAAGTCGGGAGTAGAACCAGAGCGACTGTAGAGAACGAAAATAGACTACGTACACTAACTCCGTGATGCCCTGATGCGTTCGGTTCAAACGAATCGAACCGCGCCAAGTGCCGTTGGTTTGTGCCGCGTGGTTCCCCGCCCACACGGGCAAGGCGTGGCACAGTGGGGCGCTTCTTTTCACGTCGGTCAAGGCTATAAACCGCCCGCTCTGTCCAAGAGGCACCGCTTCTTTTTGCTCTGCTTTCTGTTCCTGTTCCCCCGCCTGTGTCCCCGCCCAGAATACTACTAGGTGTGTGCGCCGCCTCCTATACGTGAATAACTGTAACCGCGTAGTACTAGGCTTTAGCGAGCCGCCTGCCGACTGCCGATGCGCCGCACTGCACTCCGCGCTCCGCCGACGCTTGCTGCTTCTTTTGCCCTGGCGACCACACTTCTTGCTCTTGCCACCACCTAATCCTGTTACCCGCACTAGACGATGAGTGACCCCGCGCCCATGCCCGGTGTCGAGAGCGCTTCTATTGCATCTACTGAATCTAAAGAATCTAAAGAAAAAACAGAGGACGTCGCCATGCCCGCTGTCGTCCTAGCCGTGGTCGACAAGGCCGCCAAGGACGCCGCGCCTTCGACGGCTACGTCCTCGTCTACACTCCCCGCTTCCTCCTCTGCCTCGACCTTACCCACCTCCTCTTCCTCTACCTTACCAACAACGACAACAACACCCCTCCCCGGCACCCTCACCACCTCCACCCACCTCGCCGCCCTCCTCGCGGGTGCTTTGGGCGACGTCGAAGCCCTGCGTGAGGAGCTCGCGGCGCAGAAGCGGCGCGCAGACCGCGTGGAGCGCTTGTTGGGGACTTTTGGGGCGGTGGCTGCTACGTTGTCTGCTGCTTCTACCTCTGGCGCTGCTACGACTGCTGCAGAGACGAAGCCGAGCAAAGAAGGAGGGAAAGAAGGAGGGAAAGAAGGCGAGGAGAGGCCTACGAGCTCGGGACGGGCGCGAGCGCGAGCGATACGCCTGTCCCTCCTGCTGCCGGCGTCGATGGACCCGTGCCCGCTGCGTCTGAATCGCCCAAGGCCGCTGCTTCCACCTCCACCCCCTCTCCAAAAGCCCCCACCGCACCAAATCCGAATACGAATACGAATACGACACAACCCCTCCCCCCCAGCACCCTCGCCCTCCTCCTCACCCTCGACGACCGCACCACCGCCGCCGAGTCCGCGCGCGACGACGCCCTCACCCGCCTCGCATCCATCACCTCCAACTGGGCCCAGCTCAACTCCTACCTCGGCGTCGTCGAAGCGCGCGCCGCCGATGCGCGCGCGGGGTTCGGGCGCATCGTGGGGGAGGGCGGGGGAAGGCTGGTGTTGGTGGACGTGCCGGTGCCGGCTTCGTCGTCTACGTGGTATTCCGGCGGAGGAGGGTATACAGGTGGGGGAGGAGGGGTGGGGGTGGGGCGTATAGGTATGGCGAGGGGGCGGGGGGTCGGGGTATAATATGCCCCCGCCCTCGGGGCTGCACCACGCGTCGTCGCACCACGAGAGCAGGAGGCGCGCGACAAGGGATGCGTTTGGGGGGTTGGTGTTGCCGCCGTTGCCTGCGGCCTCGGCGGCGGCGACGGGGAGTCGGAGGCCGAGGGAGGGGAGTTTGGATCTTTATGCTGGGGGTGGGTATCCGAATAAGAAACAGAGGGGAGGGGAGGGGGAGTTTGATGTGCATTTTTTTTCTTTCTTTCTTTTTAGTTTTGGTTTTGGTTTTTGGCATGCGCCTATTTCTGCTGCGCGTTTATTCTGTTTTCTTTCTTTTCCATTTTTCCACTTTTCGTCCTCGTCCCTTCCTCCTTCCTCCCCTCCCCATCGCTCGTCCACCCCCTTCGTCCTCTGCACCCCCATTCCCTTACCGATACCATCCTCCACCGCACTTTTCCCCTCTCGATATCATCTCATCTCATCTCATCTCATATCTATCCATCGCATCGCATCGATCCATCCCTCTGTCCTCGACACCTTCACCTTCATTCGCTTTGTCCTCTGAACCCTCCATTCCCTTCCTCCATTCCCTTCCACGCTTGCCCTCCACTGCTTCTCCCCGCGTCCGTCTAGATCTCATATCCCTATCTCGCCCTTCCTCCACTCCACCTTCCCCCACACCCGTCCTCCTTCTCCTCCATTCCCTTCCTCCACTCCACCTTCTCCCACACACGGCCTTCTTCTCCTTTCTCCTCTATCCATCTATCCATCTATTCATCCGACTCATGCGTCGCTCACCGCCCTCCCTCCTTCCTCCGTCGTCGCTCTTTTTTCCTTTCCTTTTCTTTTTCTCCTCTTTTTCTCCTCTTTTTCTCTCTTCCTCTCCCCTCTTCCTCCTTATAGTAATACTAACCCCTTCTCCCCCCTCTAGTACCACACCGCCCCAGCATACTACCCCCTCCCCGGCCCCGGCGGGCCCAACCCCTCCCGCTACCCCACCTCCTCCTCCTCTTCACACCTCCCCCCAACCTCCTCCTCCTCCTCGCACCCAACGAGACACAACACCCTCCGCCGCTCGCCTGAACGGCAGCCGACCCTCTCGCACCACCCTGCGTCGCATCATTCATCGCACCGCGATCGCGATCGTGACGGGAGAGAAGGAGGGAGAGACGCAACACATAGGGACAGGTCCCCAAGCATGGCGTCGGACGACCTCGACGCCATGCTCCTCGAGTCTGCGAACGGCTCCCCGCGCCCGTCTGCGCACCACCCCTCCCACACGCACACCCATTCGTCCTCGCACCCGCATCACGCACAAGGACAGGGACAGGGGAGATCGCCAGAATGGACGCGCACGAACACGCTCGATGCTGGTGGGGGTGGGGGTGCGAATACACCACAGAGGGCGGGGAGTATGGATACGCGCGGACGGGGGCGCGGGGGGACGCAAGTGCACGAGGAGCGGGTGGGACACAGGAAGAGGGGAAGGAGGTGGGGGAGGGGAAGGCGTGTATCAGGCTACTGTGTTCGCGCCTCCGCAGGGGGGGCCGGTGAAGAAGGGGACGAAGGGTGTGTTTTTTTTTTCTTTGTCTTTTCTACCCCCTCACTCCGCACCCCCATTTCCCATCTCCCCTCCTTCCCTCCCATCTCCCCGTACCCGATACGATATCCGCGACCACCCAAGCTGACGCCCTTTTTTTTTCTTTCGCAGATCTACATGCGTTCCCGTACCCCGCTGGACAAGGGCCTGCGGCCGCACCCGGTGCGGCGGCGGGGGTGCCTGCTGTTGTTGGGGTGCGTTTTTTCTTTTTTTGGGACTTGGTTATTTGTCTTCGTGTTCTGTCTCTCAAAGCGAATGACTTACGATCGACCGATTTCCTATTCGGGAATTCTGGGGGCGCGTGCTGGGCTTCGTGCGCGAGCTCGCGTTTCTGCGTTTCTGCGCTCCCTCCCCCGTCTTTCTCCCTCTTTTTTTTTTGTTTTTCTTTCTCTCGATACCAGACAAGACCAAACTGACACTATTCTGCGACAGACCTCCCCCTTTCCCCCGACCAACGCTGCGAACCAGCGCATCTGCAGGCAGTGTGGGCTGCCGGGACGGTATAAGGTGTGTTTCCTTTCCTGCCTCCCTTGTCCTCAATATTTCGATATTCCCCGTATTCCCCATCCACTTTTTTTCGCTTCCCAGACACCCTCCGTCGTCCTTCATTTAAATTCAATAAATGGACGGATGGATGGATGGGATGGGTGGAAACGACTTTCCTTTTTTTTT